AAAACTTCAGACAGAAAGCAACTATTTTCTTTCTACTACAAAACAAATGGGGACACAGTATACGTTACAGTAACATGGACAGAAATGGTTTATAAAAAGAAAATACTGTGTTTATATCATGAAAAATGGTTACCGATTTGCACAGGACAAAATGCATCTCAGAATATGTTAAACATGTATGTTCAATATGTGCATTAACAGAATATGGCTGTCTTCTGGGTTGTTGCGCCGTGTAGTCTGGTAGATGTTTACCGACGTTTCAGAGGTCCTTGCTGCTTCCATTATCAGGGCGACATTCCAGAAGACAGAAAGTGGCTGTCTTCCGGGTTGTGGCTCCGTGAAAACCTTAAATCCTACTTTCCAGAAGACAGCCACTTTTTTCCCCCAGAAGTGTTCGCTCAAGAGTTTTTGTTTCCCGTAAGTCTTGTTTAATTTACTTAGTTTCATTTGAACACGCCTGTTAGAAAGAGTGAAATTTATTATACACTAATTGTTAAAATTTGTGTGTGCTTATAGCTGCAGTAGTAGCTACAGGATTCATGTCTTAGAATCGCAAGGTAGTTACAATGTTGCCTCTTGCAGCTTCGGTTCTAAGTAGCAGGTAGCAAGTGAAGATAGAAAGGTTTACCACTATTAAGGAACCCTTCTGAATTCTTCGTACATTTGCCCTCAGCTTGGCGCGAAGGGAGAGTAAGAAGCTGGTGTGGTTATAGTTGTATACAGTTTAAAAAAATATTTACGTTTTAAACAAGTTGAAAAGAATGGCTTCTATTAAACAACTGAGGGAAATCTGTTTACTTACGTCTATTGAGAACCAATGGGTACGATCTTCGCTATTCTCGTGGTACAAACCGCCGGTCGTATTTTTCATTAAATATAGAACTGTGATGTCCAGCTTTGAATTAAGTTACATTGAGATGTACATTCTTTAAGTTATTGGGTGACTTCAAGATTGAATCCACAAACGCCATTTGCATTCCGTGTAGTGTAGCCGACTGGAAAGTTCAGCAGACTGACGGTGCGGTAAATCGATACCAACATATTATGCCGACACTAGCTGCAAGTGACCGTTTTGATAGCGAAGGGCGTACATTGTAACAAACATTCTCAAATGTAGGCTCGACTAGTTAAATACAGTAAAACAATTTTAACTAGTTAATAAAGTCTTCTCGGGCTATCAGCCGTGTTAGTTGGTGATCAATCGCCGACGTTTCGAGGACCATCTCTGTCCTCATTTTCAAGGCTGATGACTGTGTGGCTCGTAGCGCTCGCTGATAGCCCGAGAAGACTTTATTAACTAGTTAAAATTGTTTTACTGTAGTTAAAGCAACCACGCCACTAAACTCAAAAGTGTTACAATTGCCACTCCGTGGAGTATATATTGTAGTTCTTGAGAAGCCGATAGTTGTTTAGCCAGCCCATAAGTCCCCGTTTTTAATGGAACCCGAAAGTTCATTACCGCATCTACAAGATCCCACCACTAGTCCCTTCCCTGAGCCACTGCCAAGCGGGAAAGCGTTTTTGAATTGTGGACTGTCAGTTTGAATTTGGTGTGAAAAATTATGCCCACAGAGTTTATTTATAGGCTTTGTGTGATTCTCAGAATAAGCAGCGATCGTTTCTGTGAACAGTACTAACCAATTCATCTTCGTAAGATTCGCGAATCGAGTTGTTTTCATCGAGGAAGGAACTGAATTTTAACATTTAAATGAGCTTCATGCATCAAAGCTTAAAGACTAAAAACACGAGAAAGACATTACAAATTCTGAGGTGGTGTTCGATAGGCAGCTTGTTATTATTGACTTATTGTCGTCGTCTCGTTTGGACAGCTTCCCCCCCCCCCCAGAGCTTTCGACTTTTCCCTGTTTAGCCATTTCTCCACATTCTTTCATATTTCGTCGGTGGGGGGGTGGGGTGGACAAGGGGCCCGTTACAAGCCCAGTTTACAGGTACATAGTTTCACCCCATCGCACCAATGACAGTAGTGATAAGGTGTATAAATCATATTTATTTGGAAACAGCGTTGAAGAATAATGATCAGAGGAGGGTGTACGAAGTGTGGAACGTTGACTGGTAAATAAGCGTTTAGTAATTTTGTAGTGTTTGTGTTCGTCAAATGGAGGAGATTGCTAGGGCTAGCTCGTAACAGAAACGAGTTGTCGTGGAAAGCGACCGCTTAGAAGGCAGAGACTGAGATGGCGTAATACTTAGACGGGTCGTAAGGTTTTTGTAATGTACATTTGATTGAACTGGAATGGGACGGGATCCATGGCAAGCTTTCTTTGGGCAGCGATGAACCTTAAGAGTTCTACACTTAATACGTTTAGCAGCAGTGTGTTTGGTTCGGAAAGGAGGTCCATAGCAGTTCATGGAACGTCGCTGCTATTATTTATGATCTGTCATTGACCTTGAGCACGCGTTTCTATTCCTTCGTCTTCTGAATCATCTGTGACGTTTATAGCGAACCCCCGTATTGTAGGTGGGATTGACTGCCAGGGCAAGGATGTCTTCTTCGCTGCCTTGTCCAGGCTGACTCTGGGGTCCCTGAGCAACTGTAGACGGGAACATGTTCACAACGAGCATCAATCACCCTGAGTCTACAGAACGATTATAGAGACTTTGTGTGCACCGCAGACACAGATTGGCTTTAGGTCGGCTGTGTTCGTTTTGAGCAGGTTGACTGAAACTTGTATTATTAATAACCATAATCTACCATTTAGGAAGCTCTGCAGAGTTGCATGCCGCCGGAGCGCGAATTTACCAGCCCACATCTTCAGTCTAGTGCCGATATTAAGAATGCGTGGAGTTTAAACTCCACGTCTTCAACAACGTTTTGCCTTTGTTAGCGATGTTGGAAGGAGAATGCACAGAAAGGAATCAGCGTTGAATCCGGCTGGTTTCGAACACGAGACGTTATTTGCCCCCTAAACCACCAGGTCACCCTATCCCTTTCTTGCCACACGTATGATGTATATTTTAAGCAAAGGTTGGAGAATCACGGCAGCCCTTTCTAAAAAGAAGGGGTAATTGTCGCCTTGACATTGGAGAACTTTTAAATAAAGAAACGCGTGGCTCTTCCCACTGTAGCAGTGAGTAGAATTGTGTCCTGTGACTTCCATTTGCATGCATGAGTAGCCTTCACTACTGTAAGGTGAAAGACCACGTTAAGAGGTCCCTGGTCACCACGACATGACGCGTCTGCAGGCCGCAGATGTGGATGGTAGCTACGAATACAGTGAACATCCGACAAGGGGTCAATCTACAGTTTGGTAGTTGTGCGGGGGGCTAAGAACCGACTTCGTGGAACGAAGTCCTTCTTGAAAAGCTGATAGTCGTTCAACTAGTCAAGAAATCCGCAGCCTTTCTTGCAGCCAAAAAGTTCTTTATCGTGTTCAAAAAACTCGCCACCAGTCGCTGCCCTGAGCCAAATCAATCAGACACACCTCTCATCCTTTTTACTAATGATTTATATTAGTATTTTCCCATCTATGCCTTTGTCACTTTAGTCCCTTGAATGTACGTCAGAGACCCTTTGGGTCCGCGGTATTCCAAACTGTTGTGGGCATGGTGGCAAGGAAAGAATCCTAAAACGCCTCCACATAGAACTGATGCCGACACTTGGGGTAGTACTGCAGTCCATTCTTAATGAATTACTCAGGACCTTTCAGAATTGCCTTCATCTGTGTTCTGCGTCTTTCACAATTCGAATTCTGGCTGTTCTCCCCCTGTTCTATGGAGATATTTCAGCGAGGCCGCAATCAACAAGAGCCTTGGCTGTCAGAGAAATATGTAGTGCGGGCTAGCCAGCAGAAAGAACCAGTGGCCGGCCGCGCGACTAGAGGAGTTGAAAGTCCGCATCCAAGGTGACTGTAGTCAGACCGAGCGTGGTTGGTCTTACTTGAAGGACGTAAAGGACGCGAAACAATCCCAAGAAAGGAAGAAAGAAAGAAAAAGACGAACTCCTCCGTTTTCTTTGTTGAAAGAATTTCCTATAAGTCATCAATGAAAGCTTTCGTGGAGGCAAGAACTTTGGGTAGACATTTACATGATGTTAGTGATCACTTCCCGAAACTCATTGGTTTTCTCGTCTCCATTTTCTTTGTTTGGAGTATCTGTTCAGAGGTGCGCCGAGCTTCTTGGTAAAACTGTTAAACGAGACTAAATGTGTGAGGCCTGAGGTTCTCGTGGCGGTGAAGATGATGTTGGTCTTGTAGGTTGTAAGGCCACGATATGAACGTTTTGAAGGAACATAGTGCCTGTATGGTCAGAGCTGATATCTGCCTACAACTCCACTTATTTTTTCGTGAACTTTAAAGTCTTCATCACTGCTGTTGCATTGCCCATGTATAGTACGAAACATCATAGTCACCCATTTTATTTTAATTTATTATTCCTTATATTCTTGTCCTTGCAGTCTTGACAATTGTTAAATTAATCTTGTGCTCTTGGCGTATTTAACAACGCTGTTTAACCTGCAGGGGGTTAAGTGTGTAAACTGAGATGGCTTAGTTTAGTATTAGCAGTATTGATCTTCCTGAGAAGTTTTATCACATGTATTTGAAAGATACTCATCTTGCATTGTTTTCCTCAAAAATTCCATGCAAATGCCATGTATTTGCTAATACTGTACCCTGTCAACTGCAGGGTTGTGTGTGTGTGTGTATGTATGTATATATGTCACAAGGAATGGCAGGTTTATGCACATCGTGAGTTGGGAAAGGTCCAGGAAGAAATGGAAATAGCTTATATTAAGGTACAGTTCTCATATCGTATGGAGGAAATCACACGCCCTCTTGTCAGGATAACAGTCTGAAGTGAGATTACAAACCGGGTTTTCTAGACTGTACTTGGCGTGTTGCTATTGAGCTAAGATGATTTGTACTTCACTCCATAATTTAGACTAAGCCAGACCTCAACAATAGCACACTTATAGCATAAAGAACGTTTTAAAAATTTCGGTGTGGTACTTATTGGACACTGAGTTTATTGTTTTGTTTCAGGTTGCAAGATCAAGGCTTTGCGTGCCAAGACTAACACATACATAAAGACTCCAGTGCGGGGAGAAGAGCCCGTATTTGTTGTGACTGGGCGCAAGGAAGACGTTGCCAAAGCTAAAAGGGAGATTCTCTCAGCAGCAGAGCATTTCTCACAAATCAGGGCATCGCGTAAGAACAACTTAGGTGGTGGGGGTCTGGGTGGTGTAGGGGGAAACTCAACAGCACCTCCCGGGCCTCCAGCAAATGTTCCTGGTCATGTCACAATTCAAGTCCGCGTTCCTTATCGTGTTGTGGGCCTGGTGGTGGGTCCAAAAGGAGCGACCATCAAACGCATCCAGCATCAGACACACACCTATATCGTTACCCCCTCTCGAGACAAGGAGCCAGTGTTTGAGGTCACAGGTCTGCCAGAGAGCGTGGAGACTGCAAGGCGGGAGATAGAGGCTCACATCGCTATGCGGACTGGAAATGGAACCTTGGCGGGGAACTTGAATAGTGCAGTGGGACTTGCTGGCACACTCTTGGGTAGTACTGGTCTCATTGATGACTCTCCTGACCTGTTGGCTTCTCTCTACAAATCGGGCCTTGGCCTTGGATCATTGTTTAGTTACCTGGACAACAGTCTGGCACCCACCACTCCTGCTTCATCTGCTGGTCTTACAGAATCATCCATGCCCATCTCCTTCCCCACCATGACATCATCAACTGGCAGCACAGGCGCCTTCTCTTCGTCTGGATCTTGCAGCTCCTCTTCAAGTTCATCGGGTTCTGGTGGTCAGGGTAGTCGTCTGGGAGACTTGGTATCTATCTGGAACGGCAGTCTGGATCGTGATGAAGGGCTTGGAGAATCTCCATCTTTTGAGACAGCAACTGCCCCTTCCAGCATTTGGTCCTTCCCATCAGGTGGTTCATCTGTTCCACCAACACGGCCATCTCCTGCAGCTTCTGTTTCACCCACTGACTCACTGACAAGTCTGGGAAGTTTGGGAGGGCTAGTAAATAGCAGCAGTGGTGGGGCTGGGAGTGGTGGTCGTCGTGACTGCCTTGTTTGTGGAGAGAAGGAAGTAGATGCTGCTCTGGTTCCATGTGGACACAATCTCTTCTGCTTGGACTGCGCCAATCGGGTATGTGATGCAGACGCCACTCCACTCTGCCCTGTCTGCCAGCTGCCTGTTGCACAGGCTATTCGAATCTTCTCCTAAGATACAAGAACACACAGCAGTACTCTCGTATTTTCATTTCCGTTTATAAGTTTGTTCTTAACACTATTTGCTCAGAGTCTAGACTTATTTGATTCACTGCACACCATATTGGCAGCACATAGGGTTAAGAACAGATATTTTGAGACGCAGGCTTTGGCAGAATGTATTGATGCCAGTGGGGTCTGGATAAAAGGAAAAATTTTATACAACGAAAGAGTAAATTAAATAAATTATTTAAATCTATATTTTATGTTAAATATTTTTGTTTGAATGTTTAGTTTTTGAATGTATGGAGTGTGATTTTTTCCCATGCCCCAACACAATATTTGGGTACATTCTGTGGAAAGCAAGTCTCTGTCATTAATAATAATAATAATAAATAATAATAATAATAATAATAATAATAATAATAATAATAATAATAATAATAATAATAATAATAATAATAATAATAATAATAATAATAATAATAATAATAATAATAATAATAATAATAATAATAATAATAATAATAATAATAATAATAATAATAATAATAATAATAATAATAATAATAATAATAATAATAATAATAATAATAATAATAATAATAATAATAATAATAATAATAATAATAATAATAATAATAATAAATAATAATAATAATGCATGCAACTGCCCCCACCCCTGCCCTAGCACATAATAATGGTGGGGGAATACATCCAAATCAAGAGTGCGTAATATATTAATATCACACATTTTAAGAGTATTACGAAATATTTTAACTGAGATTTAGATTTTTGTATTATGTGTATGTGTGGATGTGGATGTAGATTTAACACAGAAAAAATCTTGAAAAAGACATGTTGACTAGAAACATCTCTTGCGAGATTTTCTTTTATTTGTTATATTTTTGTGTGGGGAATTCCAGTTCACAAGTAGGCGGTTTTCATTATTTAAACCATAATACATGTAATAAAAAAACAATAAAAATAACAGCACTCAGTCAGACAGAGGCCAGGATTCCACTAGCTCTGGCTGTGATTCTTAAAACTGCCATCGGCAGCGCCATTGTTGCGTTGCATCCTCCATTCTTAAAGGCGGCTGTTGTAACCGTTCAGTATCCAAAGGGGGGCAGGAAAACCTGGTTATTTAATTATGATTAAGATTATGTATTATTACTATTATTATTACCACTCATCTTCATTGCATCGTGTTACTGTCATCATCAGAACTTTATCATTGCCATCTTCACCTAAACTATTATAGCGCTGAAGATAGAAAGTCAAAACCGAAGGAGTCATTCCTTGTTATTGCCTGGATATTTATGAATAGACATATCCCTTGTTAGCCGTGTTGCTTGTTCTGTTTTCATGTGATATAGCCATAAGTTATTGAAAGAGTATTAATTATGAAATTATTTATCTAGAGTATCCTTACATTTATTCTCATAAGAAATCAGGCATTGCTGTATGTAATAAGTATTGCACATCACTTGCCAAGGCTATTTTTTTATCCATGTGCAGTTTTGTGGTGATGACTTGGATCCAATAAAATAAGCCTTTTAACATGACTGACATCTTTGGCTACATACATGGCATGCACATTATTAAAAAAAATAATTTAACAAAAGACGACTGCTCAATTGTGTATGGATGACTCCCTTGATGGATTTTGCTCTCCGCATTCCAAATAGGCGGCGAGGAGATTTTTTCGTATTGACATGATTGTTCTATATCTCAATTTCTTTTTATATTTATATAATATAAATAATAAAATAATTGTCACCCTTGTCCTCTGCCTGGCTGAGATGTGGCGTGCCTCACAAAAAAGTTTCAGTATTTGATTTTATTATTATAATTATTATTGATGTTCACGAAATGATTGTATATTAATTTTTTTTGGCATGTGTGTAGCTGTACCCAATGTAAGAGTTATCAAAGTGACAACAAAGGAGAAAGGAAGTTCACCATAGTAAATGTACAAGATCTTTGTTTTCTTTCGTGGTAATTTAAACATTTTATTTTTTTACATTTTTCATGATAATTATTACAGTAGTATCCAGTACATGTAAATTAGTTTTGGGGTTGGTTGTAAATATAGCACCAGAAACACTGTCAGAACAGTTGTTAACTGTTTATCTTTTTTTATTATTACAGTGCTTGCGCAGGGTTGCAGAACTGATGCAGCCAAATTCCTCCTTGTGCATGCTGTGTAATGCTGTGAAAATTTTAATATTTTGATGATAAACATGGATTTTGAAATTAAAAGTTGCATGATTTATTGCCAGCCCCTAGAATGATGCTTAGCATGATAGAGAATTTTTGCATTTTTCTAGATAAATTTCAACTATAGGAACAATTGCAAATGGTATACTGTGGCAAATTCTTTCTCCCCTTGATGAGTTTGCACAATATTTAAATACATTCAGAGTAGTAGTTTAGTGTTTTTCTATTTTATTATGATCCTATATATATTATACTATATATTATATATGATGTAGCTATAAAGAAATATTAGTGACACTGGAGAAGTTATTTTTTATGTTAGTCTGCTCAAAATGTGACAGGCCCAGAGTGAACTTTTCATTTGAGACTGCAGTGGCCATCTTGGATTCGATTTGAGTTCTGAAAAGCTCTCGTTTTTGTCTTCCTAGGGGTCGGGTTGAAGAAAGCCTCCGTTGCATTTTTACTTTTAATTTTCCACCACCACATTTACTTTTTAGGAAGAAAATTGGGGGCACCAGAGATTTGAGTTTAGAGATGTAATACGTTTCTTGTTTCTCGAAACAGTTGCAGAAATAGTTTCTTTTGCAAAATGTGTTGAAATAACAAGATAACTAAAAGCTTCTGAAGGGTGGTTGCATAAGTGATTGTTGTTGACCCACAGATAGTGCTGCTACCTTCAAATCAAAGTATGTAACTCATTTCAATGCAATAATTAAAGGACAGGATCTCTGTATGCAGTTAATTTAATTTAAATAATAATAGATGTTTTAAGGTAATTGTTGATGGTTCACTCCATTTTCTTAAAATGTTACAATTCATTTTGTTTAGTCTGTCAACAGACCAGTTCCGAGGTGTTTTGTCGTCTTGATCGGACATAAAGTCACGGTACAGTAAGTTCTCCTACTCCACTTCGATTATGAAAAGTAATACTAATGGAGAGGGTTGAGAGGGGGGGGATGAAAACTAAATGCAACTAGCTTTTGACTGAAGAGGTGTCAACATTTAGCATTGTTATCATTCTTAATGTGTAAAAAGGTCCAGGCCTAATTATATATTATAATATATTTAAAAAATAATTTGAAATGTTACGTGGTGTTTTCCAGCTTGGAAGCACATAATATACATAACATTTATTTATAATATATAATATAAATAATAAATCTTAGACATCTGATTTTGTTGACTCCTTACCAGACGCAGAGGACCGACTTGCTGCAGCTACTAAGGAAATTAGCGGTTGTGGCTTTTCAAGTGAATCACCATTATCACATTCTGCCTTGCAAAATTAATATTGAAAACCTACATTTTTCTAACTCTGAAAGCAATAATTACATAGATCATGTTGCAGCAGTTCGGTCTTTAGCAACTGGTATCAAGGAAACAGAAAAAGAACCTGCTCACCATTATAAAAACATTGTGAATATAAACAAATACTTCTATTTAGTATGTTTTTTGTGTGTGTGAATGTGTAGACTGTTAAAAAGAAGTACCATAGTGTAGGTCTTGTGTTTGAAAACCTGGGCTGAAAGTTACAATGTGTGGTCACACAGTTTATTTACAGTTCAAATCCTTGTAGAATGTTATATTTAACTACTTCTAAAAGTACATCATTCTAATATATGAATATTGATTGACAGTGTCCTGTTTAGTCATCAGCGCACAAACTGTCAAGAGAATGGTATTTGAGGGCAGTGGCATAGAAAGGTGTTTAAGAAACTTGTTAATGGTTTTGAAACAGTTGCACGAAGCCTAGTTTTAAAAACACAAGATCAACAGGATTTATGCCAAGTGTTTTATATTGTAACGCTGCCTTACAACAGGGGACAGGAAATTTTGAAGACCTTTTTGCTGTTGGCTAGAAAAAAATGAGATGTATGCTCCATATGATTGTATGGGTGAAATGTCTGAATAAATGATTATCTACTTCCTGAATTGTGCAGATGCTAAAATGAAAGAACTTGGAAAGTCTCAAATAATGACTTACGTTCTTAAATAGATTATCGATCACAGTAATCCCACCAAGAAAATTGTTTTGGTTCTACGTGTCTTCTTGTTTTCCAAGTTGATGAACACATACATTAACATCCACATAAAATTTTTCCTTCCCTGTTTATTGCAGAGTGGCATAAGTGCATTTGAAGTGTTATGTTAAATTATGTTTGTCTGATCTAAACGTTTTATTACATATTTCCCTATTTTTTAAAAAATATTATTTGCTTGTATTCATTTGCATTAGCACAGCAACAAATACACACACACATGCCCATATCAAAGCTTTACTGTGATTTGAAAGACTGATTATGTGTTTTTTTGAAAAAAGAAACAAAGATAGGAAAAATAAAAATTGAGACATTGCCAGTGATTATGAAACTAAGGAGCTAGAGAAACCTCCTCACCCCAAGTGGTTGACTACATCTATGTTGATACAAACAATAGCAACCTCATTTTGCAGTTGTCAAGTACATTTTAAAGCCCATGTATTATGTAAATAAAAAATGGAAAACATAAAAATCCGCCAACAGCAAAGACGGGTCAGTTCTTTTCCACTTTAATGGCCATTAAATACCGTAATATTTTATATTTATAACGGTAATAGTTGTATTTGTACTATTCCAGTTTTGACAAAAATACTAGTATTAAACTAAGAAAACAGTCTTTTTATTATTATCATTATTTTTCCAGGAATCATGCATGGCCTTGAAATGTAAAATCTTAATAACACCCAAAATACATTTCAGGAACACAAATAGAATAAAGGTTGAAGCAACTTCAGAATTTTTAAACCCATGACTGTACTGGATGCAGCATTTTGTGGCTTTAGTGTCCTCTGAAATGAAATCTTTGGTGTCATGTTACTTATTAACATCTGGGCATATTTCTTTGTCTAACATGAGCAGTTTCCGTAGCTGGTTAATAGTAGGATAATCAGTAACTGTGTTTTGTGTCGGGTGATGGCGGGAAGAGGTCAGTTTGCGGACATGGAAGTGCCCAGATTCTGTGAACTGTTATATGCAATAATTTGGGAACTCAGAAAAAGTGTATGCTCTCAGTAGCATTTGACTGAACACTTGTCTGTCCTGATTTGCCTCTGTTCACCTCTTGTAGTATTTTTCCCCTTTTATGATCCTGAGAATTGTAGTTTCTTAGACGTTAGAGCAGAGTACGAGTATA